ATGGCCAGATGCATCCCAGCACCCATGTGCTCGCTGGCCTCTGTGTGCGGGGCCCGATGGTGTCAGGCAGCAGCCACCCCAGCCCCTGCTTCATCTTTCCCTGTGACAATGGCATCCCTGCCCTGCCTCACCTTGCCTTGTCTCACCCTGCAGGATGAGCCTATTGCCCACCATCCCACCTGCCAGAGACCCCCTTGATCTCCCCCATCCCTGCCTGGACCCCACAGGCATCCCTCCCCATGAGCAACATCCAGGCAATCATGCCCACCTTGGCCACACCCACCCAATCTATCATGACCACCACAGCCACGCCTACCCAGTGGGCCATGCCCATCTGGCACCCGACGATAAATAAGTGGGTTTTGGGTTGCAGTTTGGGCACTTGGTCTCTAAAAGGTTTGCCATCACTGTTCCAGAATGTTAAACCCATTTTAAAAAGTAACCCCAATTTGCAATTGATAGTCTGGCTTCCTTTGAGTACCCTTATGCAAAAATCCAGTGTAAAACCAGAGTGAATTGTGAAGATGTCAAAGGTTACATTTTGCCAGTGAGTGATGGATGTTTCCCCAGCTGGAGAGTAAGTGGAAGGAAGAGGTGAAGCCATTCTCCAATCTTTTCCCTTAACTTGTCCTCCCTGACTTAGGTAAAGACACCTGTTTTCAACCTCATTCTCAAAGCAGAATAAAAGTAGTTATCAGGACATTGCAACTAATAGCCACATAATACTGTATTTTTTGCTAATTCAGGGATGAAAGGAAATGGGTATTTGTCTTGCAAATGGGAAGGGAAAATGTTTCATTGATTCTACTTCTGTTTATTGGTTGGTGGCAATTGCTTTTTAAATTTCAGCCAAAAAATAAATAAATATCAGCTTCTTGAACTTCTCCATGCACAATTCCAACAATGAGGAAATGAACAAAATAATAATAAAAACCAGAGTTAATTCTGCCACTCAATTCATTCCCTCAAGGGGTAACTCAGAAAGTCACTACTTCCCATCAAGGTAACTTTAAAAAGCATAGAACCGTATCCTGAGAAGCGTAGATTGTTAGGGTTTTTTTTTGTTTGTTTGTTTTGTTTTGTCTTTCCATCCCTCCCTGTCATACAGTGTAAAACAACAAAGGTTGGCCTGGCCTGGCCAGAGAAGGATGCAGTCTCATTTTTCCAGGAAGCAAGATGTAAAAACAGGACCTGGACAGCAGCAAAACTATTTGTAGTATAGGGACACCTTGGGGAAAGTCCCACACCATTGCCAGCAGCAAATGTCTTAGAGTCTGTTGCAAACCATTCTTAGATTATCTCTTCCTGGGGCAAATGGGAAGGAGTGTGTGTGTGTGTGTGTGTGTGTGTGTGTGTGTGTGTGAGAGAGAGAGAGAGAGAGAGAGAGAGAGAGAGAGGGAGGGAGGGGGGGGGAAGATAAAGCCCTGAAAACCGTTTTACTTTCTCCATCCAGTTTTTCAAACATTCCTTCTCCCATAAGTACAGGAGCTTTGATATAAATTCCCTTATCAAAAAAAAAAAAATCCATTTAAATTCCTATTTTCTTTGGTTCTAGGTTCATATCTTTTTTTCAAGATGAAATAATTTCAATAAATTTCAACAAATAAAAGAATGTTGGGGAAAGAGCCAGCTAGCTCATCCTAAGGAAGTTGTGGGTGTCTCTGCCTTTCTTGCTTTTTGGCATTGTTTTAGAGGTTTTTTTGGGGGGAGGGTTGGGTCCTGTTCTAATTTTTCTATTGATTCTGCCATTTTTTTTAGGAGAAAATATTTGCATTTTCCAGTTTGATTACTTTTCTCTTTGAGAAAAAAATAATAATAACCGAAATCCTGTTATTATCCTGCAGGAAGCAGACAAATATCCTTTTTTACCTTCTAATCAGGATTAAAAAAAAAAAAAGTAGGGGAAGGATGTATTCACCAATTGTTGAGGAGGAGGGAAAGAGACACCAGGCACTATTAGAAATGATGAGGAAGTGTTGCAGCTGGAGGCTGTGAAATGCTTATTAAAATGAATTTGTACCAATTCAGCACTTCCTAGTTTTACTTGTTTGACTCTGGAGTCACAAACCAGATTAGGTTGTGTTTTCCTTCACCTTCTTCTCTCCTATTAGCTGGCTAGCTGGATGTGAAGTTCATTAGTAGAACCAACATAATTATTACATGGAACGTCTTTGAACTAGCAGCAGTTCCAGCCCCTGATGAGAGAACATGTAAGACATGAGCTCTTAGATGAGAAGATGGGAACAGCCTGCTTTACTATGAAATGATTTAAGGACCGAGTTTCTTTGCATCAGATGCAACTGGTTCTTTGCTTGGGAACGAGAATCAGGGGGATATTAATACATTTTTTTTATGTTTAAAGAACATGCCCCAATTCTTTTACCCCCTCCCCGTCACACACAAAGAGACACAGAGAAAAGACAGAAACACACATTTCTAAATAGCACTCTCGGCAGCCAGTGAAAAGTGTTCCGCTCAGCTTTGCTTTTTTGAAATGCCAGAAAAGGAGAGAAGAGAGACATATTATTGACACTTTAGAACTACAATATCTCGCCGCCACCAGCATCTGAGCTGGATGTTCTCCAAACCGACTAGACTAGAGCAAAAACTAACCAAGCGGTTTCATCCAAATCTACGCAGAGGAAGCTTTGCACCCGCTGATTCTGGTATAAGTAGCTCTGCGTAACTGCCAGAGATGTGAGGAAGCTCCCTCGCTTTCCCCCCACCCCTTCCCCGCTAGAAGGGGTCGGCAGAATCCGTGACCAAAGCTACCGGGTCTGGGAAAGGGGAGTCGTGGGGACGGAGCAGGACACGGTGGAGATGCAGGGGAAGTTTCATGGGTTGGGTTGGTTTCCGCATTGGGAGTGTGGATCCTAGCGGGGGAAAGATCGTGCATTCGTCCGCTCAGCGCACAGGTCTCCCATTTGCAGCGTGATTTGCTTCGCGCGGAATCTCCCTCACCCATTTGCCATCTCACCCCCTTCATCTGGCTGCAGTTCCACTGCTACTCACCCTCTGGCCTCCAGCTGCTGCCCCATAGCGTCGCCCGACATTTTTCTCCCCCCCCCCCCAGATCCTCACAAGGCTTCATTGCGAGGACCCACTCGGATCGATTCCCAGCAGGCAGTCAGCTGGGCAGGCGGTAACCGTTCAGAACCATTTCTGAACGCTCCGGGGTGGCGAATCGGAAGCGCAGTGACTGGATGCTTAGCTCTGGATTGCCACTGGGCCACGATGCGACCCGAAACTGCGCCTTCGTGCACCCAAGGCTAGGACTGGCTCCGCAAAGGGACGAGCCAGCCAGCTAGCAACGGCCAGAAGACGCCAAACGCGGCGCGAGAGAGGCATTCTCTCCTGCAAGGCGGGAGGAAGCAAGACGTGGAAAATGGTGTGGGGTCTAATTACCTCCGATCGCTAGTCGCTTGACTCCTGACACTAATTCGAGTCAAGCCCCACCGGGATTCCGCAGGCGCACTCCTTCGCTCTCTCTCTCTCTCTCTCTCTCTCTCTCTCTCTCTCTCTCTCTTTTTTTTTTTTTCTCCCTTTCCCCCGGCGAACGAGCTCGGCTCCACGCGCGACGTCTGCCGGAGTGGTCAAAGGAGCAAGGCAGGCTCAACTTTTCATTACGGGAAGAGGAAAGGGAAGACGGATCGGGGAGATGGACGATTCGGGTTCCCATTTCTCCTTCCAAACTTGCTCTGAATTGATCGCTTTCTTCTCCGCTCCTTTCTAATTCGCTCGCCCGCCTGGATTCTCTCCACCTTCCTCCCCCCCCCTCACTTCCCCTCCAACCCTCCCTTCTCCAACATTCCCTCAGCAGATGGATTTTTGCCACTGCGGCTCAGCAGAGGGTGTCAGATCTTTCGGAGTGCGCCAGGCTTGAAAGAGCACAACCGCCTAACAACTCCTGCCTTCGACGCGGGAAGGAGTGAGTAAGTGCGTAAATAAGAAGAAGAAGAGGGAAAAGAAGAAGAAGAAGAAAGCGATGGAAAACGGGGAAAGGCGGAGAGCCGTTACGGACAGACAGTAAGAGAGAGACCGAGAGGCGAGAGGGGGAGAGCGAACGCAAGGGAGGAAAAGCGGCGGACAGAGCGAAACCGCAGCAATTGCAGAATTTTTGCAGCGCCATTGGTTCGGCAGCCCGCCGTTAGGCTGGGGCGTGATTTCAGCACCAAGGGGAACTGGACAGCACCCAAAGGGCTTTTTTTTTTTTTCCTTTCCGGGCACTCGGCTACGACTACACAGCAGCGGCGGCGGCAAAAGCGGAGGCCGGCTTCGCGCGCCCGAGAGGCAAGGTCAGTCCGCGAAGCCAAGCCATGCGCCCGGCCAGCAGTCTTCTCCCACCTCCGTCCCTCCAGCCCTGCCACCCTCCTGCAGATGCAGCGGCCTCTCCTGCCGATTCCTAGCGAGATCGTCCCTTAGCCGAGGCAGCCGGAGATCGACTTTGCTTGGGTGGGTGGGAGGGTGGGGGGGTGGGTGGGGGAAAGAAGGAGAAGCCACTGAGGGGGGAGTTGATGAAGCGGGGAGGGGAGGAATTCAACTTTTCTTCTTTTTCTTCTGCTTCCCCGTGCGTATCCGGATACTTTGTGGATATATATCGCTGACTGGAGTCCGGACTCTTGCAGTGTTTGCAGTGGGGGGGGGGGAGAGACAGAGAGAGAGCTAAAAAAAAAAGAGAGAGAGAGAGAGAGAGAGAGAGAGAGAGAGAGAGAGAGAGAGAGAGAGCAAGCCGGAACCTCTCAACCTCTCTGCCTCCCTGCATTCCTCTTTAACCAAGACAACTGTTTTTTTAAAAAATATATATTCCTTTTCCTTTTTGCCTCCCCCCACCCCCAAAACTCTCCCCCCACCGCCACCCCCCATTTTTGACGATGGTTCGGACATTCCGTGCCTGGAAGGAACTTGACTGGGCTCCAGCTTGAAAAGAAGCCTTTCTTTTTTCTTCTTCTTCTTCTTCTTTTTTTTTTTTTTTTTTTTTTTTTTTTGCCTTGTAGTTTTCCTGTGTGTTTCAGCTCGGGAATGACTGGCTGGGTGTAAAAATGCTGCTTTGGATTCTCTTGCTGGAGACGTCTCTTTGTTTGGCTGCCGGGAATGTTACGGGGGACGTTTGCAAAGAGAAGATCTGCTCGTGCCCCGAGATCGAAGGCGACTTGCACGTCGATTGCGAGAAGAAGGGCTTCACCAGCCTGCAACGTTTCTCGGCCCCCACTTCCCAGTTCTACCATTTGTTCCTGCACGGCAATTCCCTCACGCGCCTTTTCCCCAATGAGTTCGCTAACTTTTACAATGCGGTCAGCTTACACATGGAAAACAACGGCTTGCACGAAATTGTGCCGGGAGCTTTCCTGGGGCTGCAGCTGGTGAAGAGGCTGCACATCAACAACAACAAGCTGAAATCTTTTCGCAAGCAGACTTTCCTGGGGCTGGATGATCTGGAATATCTCCAGGCTGATTTTAATTTATTGAGGGATATTGACCAAGGGGCCTTCCGGGACTTAAACAAGTTGGAGGTGCTGATTTTAAATGACAATCTGATCAGCATCTTACCTGCTAACGTGTTCCAGTATGTGCCAATTACCCATTTGGATCTACGAGGTAACCGCCTGAAAACCTTGCCTTATGAAGATGTTTTGGAACAGATCCCGGGCATTGCTGAGATCCTGCTGGAGGACAACCCATGGGACTGTACCTGTGATCTACTCTCCTTGAAAGAATGGCTGGAGAACATCCCCAAGAATGCTTTGATCGGCCGGGTGATTTGTGAAGCTCCCACCCGTTTGCAAGGGAAGGATTTAAATGAGACAACTGAACAGGAGTTGTGCAGGAAAACCCGTGTGGACTCCAGCTTGGCAGCTCCCCCTGCAGAAGAGGAGACTTGTGATCCTGGCCCTATTCCCACTCCTTTTAAGATCCATGGCAAGGAAGATTCTGCTACAGCAGGTTCTGCCCCTCATGGGGGTACCAAGATCCCAGTCAATTGGCAGATCAAGTCCAGACCTACAGTCGCTAGCTCAATCCACACCATGAAAGGCAAGTCTTCCAGCAACACACCCTGCCCTGCCACGTGCACTTGCCACCAGATTCCTGGAGGCTTCAAGGTAAACTGCAATGATGGCAACATCAGCAGCCTGGTGGACCTGAAGCCTAAGCCATCCAATGTCCATGAACTCTTCCTAAGGGGCAACAAGATTCACACCATTCGCAAATCCCATTTTGTGGATTATCAGAAACTCAACCTATTGGACTTGGGCAACAACAACATTGCCACTATGGAAAACAATACTTTCAAAAACCTGCTGGAGCTGGTGTGGCTCTACATGGACAATAATTATTTAGACATACTATCTCGAGAGAAGTTCAATGGTTTGCAAAACCTAGAGTACCTAAATATGGAATTTAATGTCATCCAACTCATCATGCCAGGGACCTTTAATGCCATGCCTAAACTGAGAGTACTAATTTTGAATAATAATCTTCTGAGGTCTCTCCCAGTTGATGTTTTTGCTGGAGTCTCTCTCTCTAAGCTCAGCATCCACAACAATTACTTCCTTTATCTGCCAGTGGCAGGAGTGCTGGATCAACTCACCTCCATTACCCAAATAGATCTGCATGATAACCCATGGGACTGCAAATGTCCAATTGTCCCTTTCAAACAGTGGGTCGAGATGCTGAGGCCAAAGGTGATGATGAGTGACTTAAGGTGTGAGACTCCAGAAGAGTTCTTTAAAGAGGACTTCGAATCTCTCTCCAATGAGGCCATTTGCCCTCAACTCAAAGTCATGCCCACTTTGACTTCCACCCATAAGAATAGTACTGGCTTGGCAGAGACTGGGACTCACTCTAATTCCTACTTGGAGACCAGTAGGGTCTCCATCTCGGTGCTGGTGCCTGGCCTTTTGTTGGTGTTTGTCACCTCTGCCTTCACCGTGGTTGGCATGCTTGTCTTCATCCTGAGGAACCGGAAACGCTCCAAAAGGAGGGACGCCAACTCTTCTGCCTCGGAGATCAACTCTTTACAGACAGTATGTGACTCCTCCTACTGGCACAATGGACCCTACAGTACAGATGGAGCCCATAGAGTGTATGACTGTGGTTCTCACTCCCTATCAGACTGAGACTGCAAAATTTAAAGTTAAAAAATTTACATCGTGTATGGGCAATCAGTTCAACTTCAGCAGCTAGCAACCTCAACTTCCCTCCAGTGGTTCAAAGCTTTCTTTTCCTAATCTGTGCATCGCTGTCTCGTCTGCTGATGTGAATTGGACCATAGGAAGGGATGGGGCTTAGCCCACTTAAAGCTACCTTCTGGTGAAAAATACCTACCCGCTCACCAAACCTGGGCCAACACTATGAGTGGAGGCCTGCCTTTATTATTATTATTATTATTTTATTTTTTTTAATTATTATGATTTGCCTAGCCTCGACCTGAGGTTGTGTAACTCTACACTGTATAACCAGTGGGGAAGAAATAAAAGATCCAATCAAAAGGCCAAGATTGGCTTCCTATTGCAGCAAGAGAAAGGGTGAATACGCTCTCCTGCAGGTTGATTCCTAACCCATGTGAATTTATGGGCCCTATATGTGATGGGGAAGCAGAAGCTCTTGCTTGGGCCTTCCCCACTGAGAATAAGGCAGGAGAGTCCAGTTGCACGAAGGCATGAATGTATTGTAAATAAATAACTCTGATCTAGAACAAACCAACCCAAGTTGCTGCATGGTTTGCATGGATACAAAAACCACCCAGGGACGCTTTGGCCCCAAAAGGAAGCAGCGTCCAGTTCACCTCGTCCTCCCTCTTCCCTGATCAGTTCCATCGTATCAAACTTTCTATATACAGATACAGTATAATAAGAATAAAAAAGTGCCATTTCGCCATTATTTTTGTGTGATTGCTAGGCAGTAGAGATCATCCATTTACTGTGATAAAAAAAACAAGGAAAAATGTAAAGGTTTTATTTAAGACATGTTTGCATGGTTTACACTCTCCTGGGTTTAGGTTTTTTGCATTTTGGGTGGGGGAAATTTACTTTCATGGGGAATTTTTTTTTCTCTTTGGGGAGGGAGGAGGGGATGAATTTGCTTCTAGTTATTTTCAAGCTTCTTTTGGAAACTGACCTCTCCAGAATCCCTTTCCATCTGAATGTAAAGCAAGTATCCTTGGGGTTTTCTCTGTTGATCAATCTGTTTAAAATATCTATTCCTTGGGTTTTGTCTGTTTTTGTATATATATATATATATATATATATATATATATATATATATATATATATATATATATATACATACACATACAGAACCAAACAAAACCAAACAAAACCAAGAGCCCGGGAGCAGTTAAGCATGAGTAGTGAATGCCACTTGAATGCTTAAGATGCAGAGATGAATGAAAGAAGGTTTTTGTGCTCTTGTAAATCAGACTCTGAAATATATATATATATATAATTCTATCTGGAGAAAAAAATGAGCTGAAGTGAAAAAAAAAAAGCAAGCAAGACTTACTAATTCTATTCAAGGATTTTATAATGGCATATTTTTTCAGTATTAAAGTGAAAATGTTTTCAAGGCTTGGGTCATTCATTTTAATGCACGCTCCCCCCCTCCCTCATGTCACTTTTTAACTGCCACTGTGGGATTATTTCAGTTTAATTTATGTTGAGAATGGTGGTGGTGGTGGTGGTGGTGAAGTCTTTTATTTTTATTCCTTGTGATCTTGAAATCATGTTTCAGAAGTCGGTTGCTACTCCTTTCCTCTCTTGCCCTGAATGCAGCACTGAAATCCTTTATTAATACTGGAAAATGCCTTTGGTGCCAAGACTGCTGTGGCTGCACACTGCAGATAAACTAGAGAGCTGGATGGGAATTTGATTTAATCGACTAGGTCTTAGATCCCTCTGATTAAAAGGAGGATCTGACTTCATTGGGCAGCAATTCTTTTAAGCGTGATGATTGACAAGTGAGAATACTGATGGTGATAGGTGTTCTGTATCTCTGAAAGAGAGGGAGAGGGAAGGGGGGAGAGAGGGGGAGATGGGAGAGAGAGAGAGAGAAAGAGAGAGAGAGAGAGAGAGAGAGAGAGAGAGAGAGAGAGAGAGAGAGAGAGAGAGAGAGAGAGAGAGAGAGAGAGACGGGAGGAAAAAAACCTCCCCCTCAAAAAATAATTAGCAATGGAATTTCCTAACCTCTCTCCCCCCTCCCTCTGAATTTATTTCAGGTTTGAAATAAATCCCTCTTGCTCCTGCTGTCCAATTTCAGTACCACCTCCTTTGATTTTCCTTGCACAGTAGGCTGGCCCTTAACTAGAGAATACATGCGGAGGCAGAGAGTACCCCACAAATCAATTCCAGCTTCCGAACCGAAATCCCAGGGGGAGAAATGAAGGATTTCAGTCACGTTGCTTCTGGCTTTCTGCAGGCAGAGAAATCCTTTTAAAGAGGAAAAGACCGGAATGGGCTAACTAAGCTCAACTTCAGAAAACAGACTGGGGGTGGGTGAGGGAGGAGCCTGGGGTAACTAACCAGATAAATACATATATGAGGATGGAGTGTTTCCTTTTCTGCTCCAGGATAGGTGTTTAAGAGGAGAAAGAGAAGAAGGGAGAGGAAGGAATGACCAAATAAGGTACCCGAAACCAGTTGGCTAAAATTAAAAAGGGAGGGGGAAGGAAGCTGTAACATAAAAGGACCTTTGTGGAGATAGCAGTGTTATGTGACTCAAGCATCGGGAGATTTCCTAAACCTTGTCTTGGTATTTCAGTCTCTTGGTATAACATGATGATGATGGTGATGGTGATGGTGATAGTGATGATGATGATGGTAATGATGATGATACAATTCCCTGCTTCTCTGAACAAGCTATGGCTGTTTAGAAAGACCCTTCATTGTTTTTTTTTTTCCCTTTACCCTCCCTGACCTTGTTTCAGTTATTTTTTTTCCAACCAGAATATTATGAGAATAAAGTGAAGAAGGGAGAGAGAATAGTTATTTTAGCCCAAATTGTTTTCAATTTTAAAAGAAAATTCTGCTCAATCAATCAATTAGTTTTCAGGACCATCTAAGAACAAGCTTGTTTTATTCACAAGCTGGTTATAAATATATGGCTGGTTAAATCTGTAAAGAACTGACAGAAACTATCAAAACACAGAGATGTAGTTTATCCAGACTACTTTATGAACACAGTTCCTATCTGAAATTTAACAAAATGCCAATTGCTTTGCAGATTACAATAGTACTTGATATTTCTTTCTTTAAAAAAAAATCAAATGAATTGAATTTTATTTGGATATTTTCTTTTTTTAGTGACAAAATATAGACAATGATTTATTGTTGCCACAAGCATATATTTTAAGTAAAAGAAGTAAATGAAATCACTTTTACAAAGTGGGAAATACAGTTCTCAGAATGTATTCATCCTCAAATTGCTTTTTAAAGTTCTTTTACTTTTTAGAAGGCAATTTAGCTTTAACTGAAGCAGAATTAATCAGTCAGTAGCATGCAAAACAATATAAATATTGTTTCTATCATGTAAAGATTTCTATCATGTAAGGATCTTTGCATATCTGCTCAGTATATTCATGGATTTTTATACATTATAAAAAGAAATAGATACAAGGGATAATAGCAGTGAATGACTAATGTGGAGAGATATTTCAATTTATCTCGGTCTTATCTATTATTAAACTGCATGAATGTTTTATTCATCCTGACAAAGTAGAACAGCTTCCATAATATTTATGCAACTGGAAGCATAAATGCTTTCACTGTTATGGTTTTATGTATGTAGCTATCAATACACATGCATCCTATTCCGTGTTTCAAATATTAAGAAACATTGTGTGCTATAAAAGTGTGTGCTGGTGAAGGACGCTGGTTCCAGTTGAATCAGCCTTCAATTCATCAAACTTAAAAGGGATTTCAATAATACCAGGTATGATAGTTAGAGAAAAAAAGAAAGACAGCTTATTTGTGTGTATATAGCTTGAGACAGATCATTTGCTGGGAGACCAGGATAAGTCAGAACTTGCTTTGCTGCTATAAGGACCATATGCTTGAATATATATGAGCATCTTACATGGTTATTTATTAGAAACTTGAACGGATTTTATATCATATCAGGCACTGGATAGAATAGAAAATGAATTAGATGCTGCCTTTTGAGAAACTATGGGCTATTAATTTTAAGGCAGGTTCACATCTCTTCCTAAAGCAGTTCTTGGTTGTGAGTTGAAACAATATGACTGAAAGCAGTATGATATAACTGAAAGCAAAGACAGATAAAACATGGAACTGGATGAACTGCCAGTGCAGCACCTGCAATATCAATGTTTAATACAGGTAGTCCTTGACTTACAACAGTTCATTTAGTGACCATTCAGAGTTACAATGGCACTTATGACTGTTTTTCACACTTATGACTGTTGCAGTATCCCCATAGTCACACGATCAAAATCTAGACACTTGGCAACTGACTCATAGATATGACGGTTGCAGTGTCCCGGGTCATGTGATCACCTTTTGCCACCTTCTGACAAGAAAAGTCAATGGGAAAGACAGAGTCACATAACAATGGTGTTACAACAGCAGTAATTCACTTAACAATAGTGTCATGAAAGGTCATAAAATAGGGCAAAATTCACTTAGCAACTTTCTCGCTTAGCAACAAAAGTTTTGGACTCAATTGTGATCATAAGTCCAGGACTACCTGTATTCTGTTTAATATACAGGTAAATGTTTATTATAACATTATTTTTATATGTATGAGAGACAGAGTGAGTTAATCAGCTTTGATCTAAAGCTTCTTTTGAAGTCCCCAAAAGAGCATTTTATCTCTTCAACCACCTCTGCAAAAATATCTCAGAACTCCTAACTAAACTGAACCTAGTTCTGTTCTTGTACCTTTTGCCAAAGCAAAACAAAAATCAAAACTATACTTCATTGTGTTGGAAAAACATCTTTGTGGCTTTTGATGACATTAACCTCATTTTGCATCAAGACTTCAAATCAAAGTACAGGAAGATCAGTGTTCTCTCAGCATCTAAATACTAAGTGTGCCTTCACCCAAACAATGCCTGCAAAGATATTGCCATCTTTTAACTTCCTGACTAATTTTAGGGATTTTTTCCTTCTTCCCCATTATTGATAAATGAAGGGCCTTAAAAAGTTAAATATAGTGTTTAGTTACAATGTATCCCCCCTTTTCTGAGACTGTTATGCTATTTTTTTGTTGTTTTTGTTTTTACAAATCTTGTCTAGGATCTATTTTCAAAGATTTTACCTAATTTATTTGAACTGAGCTTCGATCATGTAGCTACTTCCTAATATAACTAGTAAAATGTTCAGAGAGATCCCCACTTGTTTCAAATAGCAGTAACAGCTAAAATAACAGTGTCATATTTATATCTGGTCACAGGGAAGACCTAATTGAGTTTATGTTTGGATATCATTTCAAGTCAAACCTTACTAGTATTTTTAGTTATCTTGGAGTATAAATTTAACTAGTGTAAAACAAATATTTCTAAGATAGCTTCAGCCTCTAGCATGGTATTGAATGAATGTTTATGCAAGTTGTTGGAATAGAGATACTTTGATCTGATTGCAACAAAGGAATTCTCAAGTTCCAATCATATCTCAAAATATGATTGGGCAAATATATATTTACAATCTCATCATATTGCCCCCCCCCAGCAATTAGAGTACTCCTTTTACTGACCTCAGAAGGATAGAAAACTGGATCAACCTTCGGTCCACCAGTAAAGTCAGAAATAACTTTCTTTTTTATTGATATCAATATTGTATTGATATATGAGATGATAGTATCAGCAGTAGTGGCATTAAGCTGATTGCTCTCATCTGACTTGAGGTCAGATGCAAATCTAAGAAGTCTCAAGTCAGATGAGAGCAGTCAGCTTAATATATGTATTCATATATTATCAGTGGTGGGATTCAAATAAGTGAACAAGTTCTCTGTGTGGATACTGCTTCCATCCTGGGGCCTGGGTAACAAAAAAATAGCTACCGGTTCTGCCAAAGTGGTGCAAACCAGATGAATCCCATCACTGTATATTCCCCTGTGCTTCAAATTAAATTAAATCAAATTAAAACATTTGCTGTCTTTGTGTGCTTGTGTTTGTATGTTGATAAAGATTCTCAGTTAGCCAGATAAAGTCATTTGGTAGTTGAGTCATGGCAACTGGACAGGCTGTGTCTGATGC